GATTTAAAGGGAAGATTGTTAATATCTCTTGTATTCAGAGATTCATTGAATTTTTTCTTACCAATACTGATGATAAAATCATGAAATAGAATAAATTTTCATATGATTAAACAGAATGGCGAAATTGAAAAGAAGGGTGTGGTTGTGTGTGGGATGTGGGTGTGGGATATGTGGGTATGGTTGGGTGAGGTGTGGGTGGGTGTGGGTGTGGGGCGTGGGTGTGGTTGGATGTGAATGTGGATGTGTGGGTGGGTGTTGGTGTAGATGAATGTGGATGTCGGTGAGTGTGAGTGTGGGAGGGTGTCGATGATTCTTTCTGTCACACCTACACACTATATGCCCACACCCACACACACCCACACCCACACACACCCACACCCACACCCACACCCACACCCACACCCACACCCACACCCACACCCACACACCCACACCCACACCCACACACTCACACACCCACACACCCATACTCACACCCCACACCCACTCACACCCACATCCCACACCCACACCCACACCCACCCACACACTCACACCCACACTCGCATTCACACACACATCATCGCACCTGTTGTGGATGCAGCGAAATGAGTTTCATCAATGTCGTCTCACACACATCTTGAAACTTGAAACTTGAAATTTTAATTGAATTCAAGTTTCCAGTATAACATTACTACAGTAATAATGTCAGGCTTATTCATCCATATACTCACAACGAACAGACTGATATTGGCTAAAACAAATATGTTGCACTCAGGTATTCACTTAACCCTTTGCGGGCCAAATTTTGGATGGCCAATTTCTGTCGATGTTTATTGCGTAGTCAGTTGGGCTTTGATTCAGATTATCGTGCGCGAGGATCAGGTTAATAATACTGGAATACTTTACGTGTGACGTGCCCGTTTATAGGATGTGGGTGTGCTTATGGGTGTTGGTGTGGGTGTTGGTGTGGGTATGGGCATGTGGGTGTTGGTGTGGGTATGGGCATGTGGGTGGGTGTAAGTGTCATTTAGAAGACTCTACACTCACACCCACACCCAACATCCCATATTTGGCGATAAATTCATTCTTGAAGACATAAGTGGACGGTAAGTGCTATTGAATTCCTGTCAATTATTAATTAGTTTTTAACTACTTGAAAATCACCTTAACACTTAATCAAATCACATTTGCCTGTGGAATGACGAATATTTTTCCCTAAATTTCGAAAGATATAGTAGATAAATATTTGCTGTTCTTCTTTATAGTCTACTGATCCAAATTCGAGGAAAACCTTTTGTTCACAGTAACTTCGAAATTTTTGCCTATACTTCTGATGGTTTCACAGAGCTTCTTGCGACGATTAATAGAACATCCTTTTGAAAACATACTTTCATTATTCAAACGATCTACGGTCAATATAAACTGAACCAAGAAGGTCTACTCAGTCTTTCATATCTTCTAACGAAAAACAATGGTCAAGATGCTGTGGCAACTATTCAACGACATGGTCTTTCGTTGATGGATACATTTGCAGTAGGAATTGTAGAGAATAAACAAGAAAATCATGCTTTTATTTTGTCCATGATCATTGCTTTGCATTGCACATCTCATGATTCGAGTCTTCTATGATGAAGTGAGTTGAAGCGTATCAATTCCATCTTTGTATTACATCGAACGCTGATTTTTTTTTCAATCATGTATTGAATACATCGATCGCTTTGATAGAGTTGACTTTCTCCGAAAACAAGTCTCAAGTTTGTCCGGAAAACATAACAACACAAAGAAATATGTTTCGTTATTAAGGAACTCACTTCGCTCTTGTAAATAGAAGGGTGTGAGTGTGAGGTATGGGATGTGGTTGTGAGGCAAGATAAGATCTACACCTACCCACACCCACACCCTCTTTTCGCTAACTCTATTCTATTGGGCAAATTGGCCTTTTGTTTCTGATTAAAAATGATGGTATTGAGTAATGAAGGAAACAACTCCGTTAGTTGTTTTCAAGTGCTTGCCCGACCGATTGGTAGCAAATACGAATTCACGCAAAAAACAACCATATTACCTGCTTTATCATTTCACTGGGAAACTTTGATAAGAAAAAGTCTTTCCGGAGAGAAATATGAAATAGGGTTAATCTCAAATAAAATCCTACTTTATTTATGATATTGTCTTCTCTGTACATCGAAATCTAGAGTGTGAATGTAGGTGATTTCCGTTGAATCATTATGTTTATAAATTTTGTCTTCTATCGAAATCTGCAGAGAATTTACATGTGGCTTGCATACATTTTCATGCAGTGAAATCCATAGATTGCACGTATTGTTCAAAACAAATGACAATGTCAATTCCTCGAAAGAATAGATAGAGCATGTTTATTGTTATTATGATGCAAGAATATATGCAATATACATGTAAATTATAAAAGTCTACATTAATGGTCACTCCGATGCAAACTTCTTCAGCTGCTCAACACTGCCGTTGAACACATTTCCATCTCCTGGATTGGGTGATGCATTATCTGTATACTGCCAAAACGTGTGTACTTGCCAGCCGGCTGGCAGAGTTCCAGGTCCGTCAGAACGGTATCTACAAATACACTTCATGATTAGGTGAGGAAAAATCAAAATTCTGTTTTACCGGGCGATCCAAAGGGGATTGTTGACTCCAAAAGCGTCTGAATTGCCAGTACATTGAGTCCACCAGTTCAAATTTGTATAAATCACGGGATAGCGCTTGGTTTTAGCCTGATACGTGTCACTAAAACTCTTGATCCATGCTATCATGGCCGTATGATCCAGACCATAACAGGTGTCACCGTTAGGATTGTATTCGATGTCGAGCGCACCTGGTAGGGTTTTCCCATCATTCGACCATCCGCCGCCGTGAGCTAAAAAATATTTGGCCTGCTCTTCTCCGCTGGAAACTGCGGGTTGGGCGAAATGGTAGGCGCCCCTGATGAGACCAACGTTGAAGGATCCTGTATACTGTTGAGCGAAGAACTTATTCCGATAGCTGGTTCCCTCGGTTGCTTTGATATAAGCAAAGCTGATTCCATTCGCTTTTACCTTTGGCCAGTCAACATTGCCCTAGTTCGCAAAAAATATCGAAAATGAGAAGAATGGAGTGATATGACTCACTTGATGACCCGAAACGTCGATTCCTTTCGGCTGATCAGCACGATAGCGTCGAAGACATTGGAGTGGATTGAAAAAGGCTGCGAATACCACCGCAAATAGAATCAAAACAGCAGTCCTGCAATAACGATTGAACAGTTTTATGCTTGACAATTCTGGATGACCGAGTTGAATTATACTTACATTTGTGCTTTGTATCAATTGATTTGCGACGTTGACAAATTTGAGGACAAGCAATACTTTCAAGATTTTTTTCTTCTGCCTTTTATACGTATCGTTGAATTCAAAACAAATATAAAGATTAACAAAAACGGAAGAGAATAATCGTCATTTATTGCTTCAAAAGTACCATAGCAAATATTACAATATGCTCTTATTACAAGTATTTTTACTCGAATACCCAAAGAGCAGAGAGAGTGTATTGATGCATTGTTGATTTATCAATTACGAAGGACAACATAGTTTGATTCGTCATAAAAAGATCAAACTTAAAGTGAGTTCTAAAAATAATACATGACAATTTGACGTGGCTAGATAATATCCTCGAGGTAGTGGCAAAATTATCTTGTAAGACTAGATATTACAGAATAATTGGTGAAAATGGATGGCAGTTACTAGTATTG